TCTATGAAGCCCACGTTATTTTCTGGGCACCACCTAGACAGCCAGCGGTTGAATGACGACATGCGGCTAAACATGTCATCATTGGTCACATTGGGCAGGGGTCCAGAGAAAACTATGGAGTTCGACATTGTTTTAGCGAAGTTACACACCGACTCAACATTAATTTTAGTGACCTTCGACTGGCGAAGTCAGGAGTCATTAGCACCGACGTGAATAACAACCTTACTGTATTTACGTTTATCCTTAGTCAATTATAAGAGGAAATCTAAGTCTCTGGCTAATTGTAATAACATACACATAAACACAAACAGACATTCACACACTAATAATAAACTTCAAATAGTAATAAGATAGTAATTAAAAAAGTATTTATCTGTCTGTCTGTCTGTCTGTCTGTCTGTATAATGTTAATCTCCTAATATTTGGTTGTTGTAAGGTGTAATAAATAATATCAGATTCAGCTGTCACATTATATCAGTGTGTAAGCAAGCCACTTGAGAAATGTCCATAAAAATAAATGGTACCACATATGGGGGTGATGATGATATCTCCCCCCTGACCTGGGTCACCCTTGCTGGAGCATTCGTGTTGTACCTCGTCAGTCTCTAGCTGTGATAGCAGGTGCTTCTTGCGGATGTATATATATAGATAGATATCTATATATATGTATGTTTGTCAATTTTATATACATACAGTATATATAAATTGATTTACAGACTGAAACCTGATTTATTACAATTTGTGATTATGAGACATAATCGAAACTGACATGACATGATGTGACTTGAATTTCATGACTTTTCTTTGCCTCCTCTTTAGCTCTTCCTTGTTTTTATCTTCTCAGTTTTGTAATAAATGTGAACTGTTTTCAACTTTTTATTGTTATTTCTGAGTTGTGTATTTGAGTGTGGTCAAATCTGAGCCTTGACACTTACTTAAACTACTCATTAACAGTCTGAGTTTCAATACACTCTACATCCTTTCTACTACTCTACATCAGATTGCTGACAGTGTTTTGAATTTGTATCTGGTGGATAAAGCCAACAGGCTTCAGACAGGCTATAACAAGTAATTCTTCAGGATTTACAGAAGATACAACCGTTAACACAGGGAGCAGCTATAATTAGTGCTGTTGGTTTCAAAGTCCAGTGAATCACAAGATGTCTTTTTCCTGTTGCACCCTCTTTTCTGCTGACCATAGCCGGTGCCCTGGAATTCACCACACTCACATACAGACAAATTTTTAAGCGTCCTTTTCACTCACACAGGCAGAGACCTAATCCTCATAATTGGAGTGTGAAGAGCGAAATGGCCAGTGACAGGGTCCATGCTGCTTTACCTGACCCTCCCAGTAAATGTGAAGAGGGGAACAAAGAAGAGGAGAAAACTTTCGGGAACATTTTTGCAGAGTTAGAATGTGTGGATCTGCCCCTAGGAACCACCTTAAGGTAAACTCAATCAGGACGCAATTTTTTTTTTTACATTTTATCTGCAGTCACAATTGATGGTGGACTCATTAAATCCGACTCACAATGTAACTGATTTAAAATGTTGACTGATCGTATACTGTGTGTACATCAAGACATGCCTTTATGGGCATCTACTTTGTATGTGGAAACATGAATGTGCTATATTTATTAAGGAAATGCACATTTGCTTATATTTGCTTAAAATGTCAAAGGTGCAATTGAACTTTTAGTACAATGTACTTTTAAAAACACTTTAAGCATGTAAGAAATTGGTTTGCAGCTGCATGCAGCAGCAGTGCTTGAATGCTTATGTGTTGGTTTTGCTCCAGGCAACCAGCCTACCATTTTTCAAGCTGTATCCAACCAGTTGTCATTTGTGCAGTTGACTATAAAAATCTGCAGACACTCATGCATATTTTTGTGACATTAGTCTATAAATCTATATTTTTATTTACAAGTGACAATTACATTAAGACAAAAATATACTAGAACTGAGCACCAATCAAAGATGGGGCAATAAAATTAGTTGGGTCCATCAAAGTAAGGACAGCGCCTTAATAATGAAGTAATTTATACATGCTTTCCAATCCCATTGGTGTTATATCTAATTTGATTATAATATAGTCCATTACTTGCTAGAGTAATATCAATTCTACATTTCAACAAGGTAGCGAACAACCAACAACCAGTTTGGTTTTCGTGCTGTCCACAGTATTTCTGGGTTAAGACTGTGTATTTCAATTGCTGTTAGCAGCTGTACTGTAAAGTACAGGATGTGTGGAAACAAAGATGCTGTCACTGAATTCATTATAGCTGTAGTGCCTCCCACAGGGCAGACCTCATCCTGACCTGTACTTCGCTGTAGCTGCGGTGATAGCATAGCATAAAACACATAACAATCATGGCGGAGAATGAAACCCTTGAGTGTATAACCGAACACGAGCGGATTTTACAAGAAATCGAGAGCACAGACACGGCTTGTGTCGGTCCCACTCTTCGGTAAGATTATATGGCTTCTTAGAAAGTGTTTACTAACCGCGATGTGTGTGGTTTTTATTTGCATCGCTTAGATTATCAGACCTTTGTTCATGAGGCAGCCTAGCTAACCTAGCCACCGGCAGGTTAGCGGTTTTAGCCAACAGGATATGGTGCTGAAATGAGGAATGAGCCTAGCTGGCTTGTTAGCTAATAGGCTAACATTGACAAGTGTTTCAGTCCGTTTAATGCAGCTTTTGTAAGCCAAAAACGCGTTTGTGTGTGATTTCCCCCCCCCTCCTGGCTCACGATGAACACTGAACGACTAGGTGACCTGTCAAAATATAAACATCATTTGTGGGTGTGGCTGTGGTACTATACATCTTGATGTCATTATGTAGCTGATGCTGGCTAACGGTGCTAACAGGTTCTGCTAGTTGTTGAGCAAAGCCAAAATTAAAGCTACTGATATCCTATTATAGCATGGTTGGATGAGTCATTCTCCTGGTGTTGTGTTGTGGCAGCCTAAGAACTTGATAACGGTGCAATTGGATGTTGAATTGCTTAACCTAATGTTCTCTAGTACACGGCGTTGGTTATGGCAGGTAACGCTAGTTAACTTACCAAGCAAGCATAACCAGTGATATCAGCCATATTTCAGCATACTAGGGAAACCAATTAATATATGCTTCGAAGGACCTAATGTTAAGATAGTTCCTGTTTCAATGGCTCTTTTATTATGTTCTCAACACTGTCATTGTGTTAACAGTATAGAGCGTCAAGATTAGTTGTTACAAAATGTCACTGGCACACTTCCTCAACCTTTGACTAATCATTTAACTCTCCTGCGTTTTAAAGTCTAGTGTCAGCTTTTTAAAAGCCACTTTAAAGCCATTGTTTGCAGTTTGAGACAGTTATTCTTTTTGCCTTCCTGAAGTGGAAAGTCTTAATTTTCAGTGTTGAGGATTAGCATCATAATCGACTTCTAATACTTACAATATCAGTGAATAGAACTAATGTTAAAGTTAGATGAGACAGATTACAGTCCAGACCATAGACTATAAAGAAGGATGATGTGACAGCTCCCAAAAGTGAAGCCAGCAATCTTCACCTAGTGGCAGTGTAGGTCAAAAACTCCACCCCATCTATGTTACTGAATGGGACACCAGCCAAATGAAAAATTCACAGTCCAAATCAAATAAATGTTTTCCCTGAGGTGATTTGAGTCATTTTTGGTAGATATTATCATGCTGATTTAGGTACAAATGGTCACTCCACTTCTTGGTTAATATAGAATCTGGTTGTAAAATCTATCACAAAAAGAAGATGGCAGCCACAATGTTCACTTTTTTGTCTTAAGTTTTGCATAGTGGAGGAAAGTGATGGTGCATCATGTATATGCATACAGTCTATGAATTTGTACCATGTAGGGTTGCAGCAGTATTCCAGTTTTACGGTATATCACAGCAGACAGGCGGCAGAGGAGACTGATATCATCAAACTCCATCCACCAAAAAAAAGAAGTTCATAACTTTAAAACCAAACAATAAAAGGTATGAACGTATATAAATGTTGGCCATAAAATGAACTATCAAAATAATTTACCTCTGACTTACAAAAGTACTTGCACTAATCCTGATTTGACCCCAGAAACACACACAAACTTTACTGGCCCACATAAGTGAGTGTGTCTGTGTCTGTCTGGTGTGTGCATAAGTGAAGAGAGGCTCACGCTGGTTGTGCTGTCGTGCACCTACAATATAAGCTTAAACAATTTTCATAATTTTTTAGATCATTGTGATGGCATTTCTCACTATTGTCATTCCACACTTACATGTAACACAGTGTGATAGTACATTTATTTACTCTAAGTTAAGGATGTGAATACTTCTGCTACTGGTGCTAAGATGCAAACTAACATGCTTCAGTTATATGCTTCTTTAAAAAAAATTAAGAGTTGTTTATTCTTCAAGGTCAGTCTAGTGCTACAATCCATCTGTTACAGTCACTTGCGATAAAAATACCCAGTTTTCATTCCTTTGAGGGTCATTGTAGCTGTTAATAATTAATACTTGTTATACTGTGAAACTGTGATATTTTCTGAGATGGTTATCATACTGTCAAACTCTCATATCAAACACTGAAAGACATACCACAACGGGACTGATATATTTCAGTTCCCTCTGTAGCTGTACAGTTTGTACTTTCCACACCTGTCTATCCAGGATCTCACCCAAAGTTTGTGCCTGTATTTTTTTTTGTCATTTTCAGCACAAATTGAACTGTAAACCATGAATTGATATTAACAATGCCAGCTGTTTATATTCATATTTGTTTTGCTACAAGGACACACTAGAATCGGCGTGATCTCACAGGCTTTACAGAGCAGTCAGCTGCCATAACTCCCAGCCATTTCAGTCATTAAGTATGCTATCTACAGTGTTTGTTTAGTTATAAGCTGTATGCTTCTTTCTGACTGCCAAGGGCTAACAATCTGCACTAGCTGGTGAGTTGTAAACTGTGACCTGTCCAGCCATAGAAAGTGTCAGTCAGGCGTCAAGTGTGTCTCCACCTTTAGACTAGCTGAAGTCAGCTTTCTTTCCTGGAAGCTAAAAAGTAGTGTCATTCAACAGCTTCTGTTACCTGAGGAGTTTTATGGTAATCAGTCACTTATCAAAAATACCAAACGAGACAGTGCCAGGGTTTGCTTCATTTCTCTGTGATGTAGCCATATAAGCAAAGTGATGTATTTTTTAAAATATATTAACATTTTTTAGATTAAACGAAATTTAAAAAATTAGATTAGTCAATAATGAAAGTAAAGAAAGCTCTAAAACATAGTTTGTACTCTGAGAACTTGTGGCATAGAAATATGGCCCCAGAAAGAAAAAAGCATTGTTATTTGTATCACATTCATTTTCACTTGTTCCCTGGCAGTTGAGCAGACAACTCTTTTTCATGTTCTGTGAAAGTAAGAATGAATATTTGAGCATCTGTTTTGTTTAACAAAATGTCTTGGGGATGTAGTAGCTCCACAGACGTGAGGTCTAATGGGCAGGGTGTACTGGCTGCAGAGTTTTGTTTGTCAGAACAGTGAGGTTGAAAGGATAAATTTGGCAATTTTGAAAGTGGGTCTTGAAAAAATATTGACTTGCCCATGTATATATGAGAATAGGTCTTAACCTAAGTCATTTTAACTTCTGCTTGTACGCTTCACAGAGAACCTGAATGTTTTCACCCAGAAAAAAATACACACAGCAGTTGTTCTGTTCAAAAACACACTCCAAAGTTTGTCGTAAGCTTCAGCTTTCCCACAAAACTAATTTGAGTCGGTATATGTCAAAGTTCCAGTCTAACAGGGCTCCAGATGTGATCACTTAGTTGTATTTTGTGCCTACTTTTAGCAACAGTGCAACAACATTTTATAACTAGGTTCACCTCTGCAACTTGCAAATGTGCCACCACATTTTTTTCTTTTTCTTTTTGTGTTTTGTTTTAACCATCGCTGTATATCGTGACACACAGGAAGAAGTGCGAATTAGTGTGGGTGTGTCTATTGTAAGAGAGTAGATTAAGGAGTACCGCGACATCTACATTGACTCTATAAGGACCTTTTTTTTTTCTTAAAAGTAATGGGGAATCATGGGAATGTTGAATAGTTCGAAGCATTAGGAGCAGCACCATAGACTTACATTGACTTGGCTGGTATCTTCCAAAGTAATAGCAGTAATTAATACCTGTGACATTTTAAGTTAGCACTGTGTCAAAACATGACTGTCACTTTAATAATTCAGTACCTACAGTAGCTAACTAGCTAAACTAGCTGAGCTGTCTGCAACAGCAGAACACAAAGTTAGTTTGCAAGGCTGTACAAGTCATAGAAATAGTAATAGCTGATAAAACCCCTCTGTTCCCTATAGCGAACAATGGATTTTAATTGACTGTTTGGAACTATCTGAACCTACATGAATTACATGACCTGCTGCAGTTTTGTTCCCTCAGTGAACAGATCTGTTGTGAGGCTATGGTCATCATAACAGCATGGTTTGGGGACGATTCTGCACGTGAGGCCATCTGCCGGTCCACAAGCAGGCTATTCTTGTTCTGGCTTAGAGTTTTGGTGACAGCAGTACGAAATAACAGTTAATTTTCCAAAAGAAAAGATGATTCACAGTATTTGTGTCATTGGTGTCACAGAAGCACAGGTCATACTGTCAAACTAACTAATTCATTTTAACTGCACTGATGTGGTCTTGGTCTTGTCTTGAGCATGTCAGTCCAAGTTGTATGGAAAAGGGTGATATGGTGAAATGCGATGCTGATCATTTTCGATGTGTAGTGAAAACATTATAGATGAGCAGTCATTCTGTCATCCAGAGTGAATCAGTATAAAAACATTGGCTACAGTGAGAAATCCCTCCTGATTTCCTACAACTACTATTATTTAGTTTTATCTAAACCTGAGGCTGCAACTTCGGCACAAGTGACTGTAATCACTTTAAACATTGTCCTTGATATACAGTAAAAGGCAGTGTTAATGGCTGTATCTGTCTAGACTCTGTACTGGCACCCAGACTTTTATAGTGGGCTGTGGCAGTGTCCTAAGTTTCGGGTATAGTTTTCTTCTTTGCCCTTTGATGCTGGTTTAAATTATGTGTGAAATCAAAAATCCAATCAATGTCAAAGGTGTTTTGAAATCACAAACTGTTCATTTAAATAAACTGTGTGTGTGCTTTTCATCAAGTTTAAGAATACAGCATTTCATCATATTGTCACTAGATGGAGCTCTTACTTCACGTGAAGCAAATGATGAAGCCAGTATAGTGTAAGCCATGTGCTCAAATCTGTTGGGGATCCTCCATCATCATTCCTATATCAGAAGCATATTAAACTTAAAAGCCATCCTTTTCTATGTTTTTATCTTATATCCTTGCATTTAGATTTAGATTCAAGCAGTGTTAGTTTTTGGGAGCTTTTTTTTAATTTGAAAAGGGCCAGAGCTTAGAAAACCCTTTTTTATGAGCCATCTTTGGAATAAATGTGAGCCATCTTGGGCTTTTGTGTTTAGTGCTTATTAATTTATAATTATTACTAATTATGGATCTGTATATTCTACCACATTGTTAATATTATTGTATGTACACACATGGATCAACACACAGTCAAGATCACACACAGCAGTGAGCCATGCAAACGTGTCAGGTCTTCCAGGCTGTTTAGTGCAGCTGTGCTGAGGACCCTCACATGCAAAGTAACATATGAGCAAATCTAACAGTGATTCTCACAGTTGTTTTCTCTGTTTTGCCACCTTTTCCTTCCTGTCTTCTGCACTTTTTCTTCTGTTCTTCAAATCCTCTGTTTCCTTATCTTGTTTGTGTCTTTCAGGTCTATTTATGATGACCAGCCCAACGCCCACAAGCGCTTCATGGAAAAGCTGGATGCCAGGATAAGGAACCATGACCGTGAAATTGAGAAGATGTGCAATTTTCATCACCAAGGCTTTGTGGATGCCATTACAGAGCTCCTTAAAGTCCGTGCTGATGCAGAGAAACTGATGGTAAGAGATATTACTGCAAACAGAAGAAACAGGCTGATAGAGATGACAGCAGGTCAGTTGGTCTGTAATAACAAAATAACAATAATAATGTTCTTTAATGATATAGCACATTTCATACAAAAAATGCAATACAACGAGCTGCATAAAGCAAGAAGCAAAATGTGGACAAGAGGTAAACACATCAAAAGAAATAAAACGGGACACATTTAAGATAAAATTAATTGCAAATATGACTAGACAGCACTCAGGGAGTGCAGGCCTCCACCAAGGTAGCTCAGTTTCTTCCAACTCCGCAAAGAAAACCCCCAGGATGGCCCAGGCTCGAACCCTTGCTGTGAGGTAGCAGCGCTAACCACTGTGTTACTATGCTGCCCATCCAAATACAAATACAAACCAAGAGAAAATGCCTCACCAGAATTCTACTCTTTGAGTCTGACTCTCTGCATTAACGTATTTAGAGCTGTACCCGACTAAGAATTTTGCCAGTTGACTCGGATTCAGTGCAGAAATGTATTTGTTCTTTTTAATTTCTTAATATATATAGTCCAAACTGTTGGAAAATTAACTCGCATGAAATTCAGAGATGATTTAGACCACATTAACATCGGTATTCCCGTGCGAAAGAGTGACAGGAACTTATGTCTGAGCATTCTAAAAGCAATTTGTAAAAAAAACTGCATATGATGCATCAAAGCACCAACACTGAGAGAAGTGGAAATGGTAGTTTGGCGACCAAGAGCAGGCTCAGCCCCTGGTTCTAATGGCATGCCCTATAAACTTTATAAATATGCTGTTGTAGGGCAGGTACAGCATGGACGTGGTGGTTTTGGTTTAAGTACATTACAACCTTCTTGGAGCTAAGCAACAGCAGCTGACAGAAGGAAGATGGTTATTGAGGAGGTTAGGAGGAAGGAAGAGGCAGGTAAATTTGCAAAGGCAGTCTCCCAGGCTCAGCAGGGACAGTGGATGAGGTGGAATGATGTAGAAAGGAAGAAACGTGTTTGGAAGGAAATGTGGGACAAGGAGACAGGAAGGATTAGATTCATCCTAGGTGCTTCCATCTCCCCAGAATCTGAATAGATGGATAGGTCAGGACCCGACATGTCCCTTAATGTTCAGGTGGGGCATCACTTTGGCACATTCTCTCAGGGTGTAAAACAAAGCTGGCTCAAGGACAGTACACCTGGACACATAATCAAATGCTGAAATGTTTAGCAGCAGCTATTGAAAGTAGGCACTTAGAGGTAAACTCCATGGAGGAGAAAAAGGAATGAGGTGATTTTGTTTTTTTGCAAGGGTGCAAATGGCAGGAAGCAAGTAATTTTGAACAGGCAAGGTTTATTTTATTAATTTTGACTTTTGTTTAAGGTACTTTGTGCATTAATCAGCATCACTGTAAATGTTCTAGTGTTAGCTAGGAGGCTAATATTCAGCTGCTGTCCCTAGGCCAGGTGTTAAACAGCCATCAAAACAGAACACAGCATATAAGAATCGGGACAAAGAAAACAAGACCTAAAACAACTACAGAAAACATACAGGCTAAAATGCTAAGACAAGCATTATAAAACAAAAACATAGAATAAACAAACAGATATAGAACAATGCTAAACATTGGTATCTGAAATGTTTGGTGAGTTATTTTAAATGTACCTAGAACAGTAGTTGAAACGTTTGCTAGTGCTAGTGAATGTTTGCTAACAGTTAGCCTGAGTAGATGAAGGGTTGTGTTGGGTGTGTGGGTGCAGGCAAAGAGGGGGGTGGTTCTAGGACACTGGAACACACTGTTGAACCTTCTCAGTGTTGTGGGCCCAACTCAACGAAACACCCGTTAGTCAGAAGGTGCCCACCTGGTAGAATTGTCTTCACTACTATACCTACACAGAACTTGTATTGGTGTTAGTGATAATATAGCTACAGACTCACTGGAATCGTTAATAGTCTTCTTTTGTGAGATAGTCTTGGCAGAACAGTGTCGACATTCTGTAGACCCGGCTCTCAGAGGTGACTGCCATTACAAGCCAGCTGGACCAGCCACTGCTTAACCCGAGTAAAGACAATGCAGAAGCTGTGTGTCAAGCCACATGTCTGCTCATTGCTTGGGTGAGGATAGGATTCAGGGATGCTTTGTGCTAAGGGAAGGTTATTTCTGGAAAATGGTGTTGCTTATTGTGGGGCTCTGGAGATTTATGTCGGCATGGCCTGACACCCCCCTCTCTGGGGCCAAATAATGGGTAAATATCATTTAACTCAAATACTGAGCTTCCATATGAATGCTCTCCCATTATTTGGCACATTTAATTGTGTATTATTGATTATTTCACCCATTTAGTGCAGTTTCTCCTTGTTTTTGCCTCCACAACCTCCTTTCTTCTTCCACAACCAAAATACCTTTCTGAATGGTGAGTACAGATACATCACCTGCTGGTAGGGGGAGTTATTTCTCTCACACAGACGCAGAACGTACGTGCTAGTTGGCCGTTGGCTGTAGTCTGTGCAGTGTGTTCATCACTGCTAGTTCTTTCATGTTGGATTGGTGTGTCTCTGGCCTTACGTTTGATGCATGTCAGCTTGCAGTGCTAAACAATATAAGACTATAGATTTATGATTCTTCTTCTTCATAATTCGTCATTGAAATGTTTTCCCAGCACATTTTTATTAGCTTCATAGTCCCGTTCGGATGGATGCATGTCATCGAAACAGTTGGTAAAGGGCTGTGCATTACACTTTAACAAAGCTGGGTAAGCAAACCAGACACACATATGCAAAACCGGCCACATTGTCATGACTGTTTTTTTGTTTTCAACAGCAGAAAACAATGTTTGAAAACATTTCTAATAAAGTACAAATCTTACATTTATATGTCTTGTTCTAGTAGGTTTTGTTGTCCTTCTCTCCTCATTCTGGGCAGCAGTTTGTTAAATGGTGTCACTGGAACTTAATACATCCATGTATTGGATAGTGTCACTGTTGAAGTGGGAAATCCCCCAACCACAGGGGAAGAACTGAGCAAACTGGTTCATGGTACACCAAAATGAGGAGAAGAGGATGACAAAAATAATAAATTGCCTTCCACTGTAATGCACAGCACAAAAAAATAAAATAAAAACAAAGGGTCGACTAGAAGCGTCTCAGTCGACTGACACGCCTAGGAACTAATGATTCGACTGGTCTACTTTCAGGAGGCAGCCCTAAACATATTAATGATCTGTGGACATATTCATCACATTTAATTTGACCATGCTAGGAAGAATACCTATAATTTCTAGATCTCAAAATTCAAACCTGGATCATGCTTCTGGTTTGGGTTTTCACCAAGCAGTAGTTTTTATTGCAGTAAAAAAATAAAAGGCTGGTGTTCTTAGTTTTATTTTATTTTATTTTTTTATGTTGAGGGAATCACATGAAAAGACCAAACTTATAACTGGTTTGTCCTCAGTACTTTCTGACTTATCTGTGGCTCTCAGCTCCATACATAATGGAATACAGTATATATGGACTACTATACATAAATACTAACTTGAGTAATGTAACTGGTATGTAATTTTAAACTTAAAAAATGTAGAAACCATAAATAAAGCAAAAGAAGGGTAAAAGGAAAGACTTGGGGGCTGTGCAGTTAAACTGATGACTGTATTTGCTTTTAAAGGGTCAAGTGACGGACACTAACCGAAGACTACAAGAAGCTGGGAGGGAGGTACGTCCTTGTACATTTATGCATGAATAATCAGGTAACAAAACTGGGCTTTTTACTGTGCTGTGAGGGCATATACTGTATATACAGTACTTAGTAACTGCATAGGCATTAGAGATGACCTTTAACCCAGTGGTTAACAGTAGTGGTCTGTTTCTCATTGCCTCCTTCCGTTGTGTGTTGATCCCCTCAGGTGATGGCTCAGACAGAAGAGGTGATTCGCTGTCGGATCCAGCAGAGGAACATGGCCACCACTGTCGAGAAGCTTCAGCTCTGTATACCAGGTACCACTGCTTCCTGTGATGGTCACTTAAATTCTAGTGATAATGGTGGTGTTAGCGTTAGTTACCTGAGTGACTGTCTTCCTAAGTAGGCAAACTGACCCACATGTTTTTAGATGGTGATAATGCCAAGAGCTTATATAATTCTTTAAACATGAAGGGAAGCCTATCACACATAGCTTAGGAAGCGCTATAAAAGATGTTAAAAGTTGAAAGTTTTCTGTTTCAAATTTGTTCTTTGGGAGAAAAACAGTATATTGTTTGAACCAGCAAAGCCTTCTACTGATCCTGTTTCTCATCTCCTCTTCCTTTGCAGTGCTAGAAATGTACAGCAAACTGAAGGAGCAACTGGAATCCAAACGGTATTTATCTCACAAAGCATTATATCATAATGAGTCTCAAAGAGTAATTTCAGCCATTCTAATATTGTCAACTAGTGGTGCCAATATTCTTTTTCATCACCATTTGCAGCTGTAGTGTACTGTAAAACTTTAATACCATAAAACAGCTGGGTGTGCGCGGTGTAGTTTTATGTGCTTGGGACCACATCCAACTGTGATATAGCATAGAACTATAGTGCTACAGGACATTTCTGTGGCATGAAGTCTTCCGGTTCTTGTACCATGCTAACTCTGAGAGACGAGGCAGTCCAAGTAGCTCCTTTACAGTGCTGATTTATTCAATGAACACAGGTAAAAATTAACATTACACGCTCAGGTATCTTGCACCTCCAACATGCACGCAGGCAGCTGTAAGATGAAAGACCCTGAACCCACCAGGCCTATACATTATATCCCCTCGGTTGGGCTAGCCCCATACTACACAGGAACGTCAACCGAGACGTCTCTGTTACCAGCTTTGCAGCTGGTCATAGCAGTAGTCAAAACATGAAGCAAATCAATGTGTGTGTGTGTCTGTTGATTGTGGTGTGTAACTAAAAACATTCTCACGACCTCTAGTGACATGTCATGACATTAAACATAAGAAAATATTATGGCTAAGGCTACAGTTATACACATCATAATAATAATATTAAACACCCTGTCTGCTGACAGTCATCAACTCTTCTTTCTAGTTATCCTTGACCAGATGTACCCTGGAGAAACTCATAAGCATGACTAAGCATTTAACAGTCTAACTAGACATCCTATCTCCACTAAACATTTCTAATACATAAAGTACCTATCCAATTTCTATCTGACTAAAAATACCTAACAGGCACATGCTGTGGATAAAATGTATTATCACCGCTAGTGGGCAGGGCAAGTTAGAGGTGTGGCCAGAGGTTCAACAGATACATAACCTTTCACCTATAGCAGCTGGCGCAGCTCCTCCATCCAAAATCTAGCAGAAACCTTAAAGTTAACGGCAGCTGAAAACCATGTTCTTCCTAACCTCCAGTTGTTTATATTCTTACCATGTTAAAATGATCACATCCAACCATATCAAATTAATGAACTAATAGTTTTATTTGTCTCACTATTTACCTCAGAACCACCAGTGAGAATTTAACTGTGAAAACAATGAAACAACAAACAACAATGAAAATTACATAATGCACACATTGTCTGTAGTATAAAAGTAATAAACAAATTTAAACAAAGACAACACAATAGAGGTATGTGCGTCAGTTTGTTAGTTAAAATGTATAACTGATTCAGTTCTTACATAGTCTGTAATAAGTTTAAAGTATGAGGATTTTATGTATTACAAATTATTTTCTCATCCTACTTCAAGCTTTATTCAGAAATGCAAAAACCTTCTAATACAGGTATTTTATCAACTACAGTTCCATCCTCAGTCAAATCTATCATCAGTGATGCTGACTGTGGTCAGAGGTGAAACTTTGAACCAGAGGGCAGCGAATAACTCCTTTGCAACTTGGCATTAAGTTACTTTTCAAGTATACTGAAGTGTTGCTGAAACAGTGTACAGTTTTCTTCTGTGCCTTCAATAGAAGTGTTTTGGGGCCAATTTGCCAATAATTTCATTCATTTGAATAGAACACATTTTACCCTCACTGACCAAGTAATTAGATCTCTTCGCAGCCTGCCTAACAGCCTATTGATGGGAGCTTCACACACCGACCCTAGGCTGATATGTGTTCAATATGATAGATGACAATACAGTCTTTTTATAACACTGATGTCAGTGTAGACGAGCAGGATCCTAAAAACAGTAAAAACATCAATTCTACTTAATTGTTCAGTCAATATCATCTACATTAATTTACTAATGTTTTGCTGCATAGTGCACTTAACAATACCTGGAATCAAACTATGCACTGCTGCACCAGGTCAGAATCTGACAGGTCACAGAATATGGCTTGACACTGGTGGTATGCTGAGACATAGCAGTCGTCTCTCTCAAGCTATCAGAATTGCTGTTCTGACTTTAACATGTTGGACACTGGATAAATATTTAAACAAAAAACGTGCTGTCCCCTCTTCATTATTAGTACCCACCCACAAATATCGAGAGAAAATGGACTAAATGGATCATGAATTAAACATTTGGTGAGGAATTAATTTGGCAGCAGGTATTTTACCAACTTGGAATTGGATCCATAACAGAACTGGCTATCTGAACTCATCCCTAATGGCTTCATGAAAGACAGTAGCTCTGCCTACTATTGTAATAGATACTATCTCCTTTGTCTGTGCAGATACTATGCTGCCTTGAAAACCATGGAGCAGCTGGAGAAGATCTACATCCCCAGGTAGGGTTATGTCTTTGAGGCTCTTGAAGGAATGAACTATCAAAATATTTTGAGTAAAATTTGAGTTGAAAACAAAAATGTCACTGATTTTCAAATGTAGTCTTTAGGTTTAATTTCTGTACAGTTTTACAGGTTGGACCTCATGTAACCACATGTAAATTTGACAAGGAAAATAATACCTTCCATATTTTAGTTTTTTCATTTTTTTGAAGCCTTATGGCGGCCTTCAGTTACACTGACACCTCCTTGGACCACATATTGAGAGTTCCAGTGGACAACAGTCAAGTGCAAATTCAACACTTGAAGTCAACTCCAAACCTCCATTTAATTTGTCATGAAATAAGGCAAAATGCTCTCAGTCAACTGTCCACTTACTTTTGAGCTTCCGAAAATAGGGGACTACGTATAAAATAGCTCTAATTCTTAAAGTATTTTCATTAAACCCCTTGAGCGTAAAGTCTATACTTCAGTAACACCTTGACTGCTTGATTTTAAATCCATCGTGGTGATGTACAGAGGCAAAATTATGAAAGCTGTCTCTCTGTCCATCCTCTGACCTAACTCTACATAGTCAATGATACTTTGACATAAAAATATTTAAAGTGCATCTTTTAATTCTGATTCTTTTTCATGCTTTCCCACCACTACAGTTCCAACCGGAATTACATTTTATTAAGGAAGCAACAGTGTCTTTTGATGGGAAGTTTTAATTATCTTCTGTCATAGAGCATTCTTTTAAAATAGTTTCAAAAGGTATTTAAGAGGATATACAGGAAAAAAGAGACAAATCTCAAATCTTACTGCAAGTGGCAGCAGTTTAGTTCAATTGACAATAATGTTGCATGACAGTGCTAGGCAGGTGGTCTCACTTTTGGATTTGGTTAATTTGCCAGCTGTTTTATTATAAAATGTTTTATGTAAGACAAGATAATTTTGGTTGGATTTGATACAGTTGACCAAACTGAACTGGTTCTGCTGTGTTCCCTGCAGGGTCAGCCAGTACAGATTCTGTCAGATCATGGCTGAAAACTTACCCAGATTGAGAGAGGAGATTAAGGAGATCTCCATGTCAGACCTCAAGGACTTCCTGGAAAGCATCAGAAAACACTCTGACAAGGTTGGAGAGACAGCCATGAGACAGGTATGACAGTCTATGTTTTAGACAGTTCCCACAATAGTTGTGAAAATGTTTTTATGAGCTTGTTGATGATGATTGATGCCCCTCCAGGCACAGCAACACCGGACCTTTAACAGTGCCGTAGCGAAGCAGGTCAGTATGGGCCACTACATGAAGCCTGTGTATTCCCTCAATGGACGAACACACACTCACAATGGCCTGATGATGGACACAGGAGATGAGGATGAAGCAGATGAAGAGGTGAGGAAATGTGTCTATTTGGGTTTGACAGAATGTAATCATACTAAAATAATTGTATTCCTCTTTTCCCAAACTTTATGCGTAGCCTCAGAATCTTAATTTAGTTCTTTCCTTCTTGTCTTGTTACATAATCAGTAGCTTCATTTTAGGAATAAATTCAGCAGCTCCATAAGAGAGTTGTCAGAGCAATGTATTACTTTTTATCATTTTTGTAGTTTTCTATTTGATATCGTTAGTTGATGTTGATTTATAGGAGCTGAATTAATGTAGAAGACATTAAGAAATGTTTCATGCTAATCTCGTTTCCTCATATCTGTTGGACAGATTCTTACAGCTCAGGACCTGGTGGATTTCTCACCTGTCTATAGGTGTTTACACATTTACACTGTGCTGGTAGGTGTCCCTCGCCTCTTACACACACATCCATTATTCCTGTTGAACCTTTTCTCCAATGAGTCATCATGCCCTTTACTGAAGACATCACCACAGGTACTGAACGGTTCAGTGACATGTCAGAAGACTTAAGCAAAGCAGATTGAATTTCAGGTCCATCACAGCAGAAGAGTAAGAGTGTATTGATCAAAGGCCTGTCCATACTGACTACTACGTTTCTTTATTCAGTTGAGTTTGATCAGCTGCCTTTATTTCTGCTGAGCAGTAGTACCACAGCTCATTGAATATTACTTATACTAGTCCTACTAACTAGCCCAGTGGATGGTGCTGTAGCTAACTGCCATCATTTGCAAAAGCTTTATTTGAATTGTTAGGTATTTTTAGTCAGATAGAAATTGGATAGATACTTTATGTATTAGAAATGTTTAGTGGAGATAGGATGTCTAGTCAGACTGTTAAATGCTTAGTCATGCTTATGAGTTTCTACAGGGTACATCTGGTCAAGGATAACTAGAGAGAAGAGTTGATGACTGTCAGCAGACAGGGTGTTTAATATTATTATTATGACGTGTATAACTGTAGCCTTAGCCATAATATGTTCTTATGTTTAAGTCACGACATGTTACTAGAGGTCTGTGAGAATGTTTTTAGCTACACACCACTTAATCAACAGACACACTCACACACACATTCACACATTGATTTGCTTCATGTTTTGACTACTGCTATGACCAGCTACAAAGCTGGTAACAGAGACGTCTCGGTTGACGTTTCTGTGTAGTATGGGGCTAGCCCAACCGAGGGGATATAATGTATAGGCCTGGTGGGTTCAGGGTCTTTCATCTTACATCTGCCTGCGAGCAGTTTGGAGGTGCAAGATACCTGAGCGTGTAATGTTAATTTTTGCCTGTGTTCATGGAATAAATCAGCACTGTTTTGTAGTTACTTGGACTGTCTCATCTCTCAGAGTCAGTATGGTAAAAAGTACCGGGTACAACAGAATAAAATGCTAAACTTTAGGCATGGTCAAATATAGTTAGTTTATTGTAGGACGCTGTTCCCCCATAGGCTTTATTCTATTATAAAGCCTCATCCGGTTCTTTCAAACCAGGAACTCCGAGGGACGACTCAGACCACTTGAGTATATAAAAAATATAACCGTGCTGGTTTATTCAAA